CCAGCCTCAGCAAAAAGCAAGGTGTGCTAAGCAATTCAGTCAGACCCTGTCTCTAATTAAAATACAAAATAGGGCTAGGGATGTGGCTCAGTGGTCGAGTGCCCCTGAATTCAAACCCCAGTGGCCTCCCACTAAAAAAAACACTATAAACGAAATCTAAAAAAAATCAGTAACAAGACGAGAAATACAACCATGCCATGTAACAAAGGAGATAGTCCTAATAAAGAAACAGGACCAATAACCCAAAATTTAAAAATGAGCCACCAGGCACAGTGGCATATACCTGCAAACCCATGCACTTGGGGGGCTCATGCAGAAAGATCTCAAGTTGAAGGCAAGTCTGGGCAACTGTGTGAGACCCTATCTCAAAATAAAAAGGACTGGGGATATAGATAAGTGGTAGAGCAGTTGCCTGGCAACTGTGAGACCCTGGGATTGATCATCAGCACCAAAAAAAGAAAAAAGAGATAGGATGAGGGTAGACAAAACAAATTAAAAACAAGATGATTTACAGATTGCCACATTTGGAAAGATTTTTTTCAAGTTCTTTCTGGTTGCAAGTAGTTTCTAAGTAGCAAACCCAAGAACACTTCTACTTCCACTGTTCTGCCTAAAGCAGTCCTTCAAATCTCTCTATGGCCTTCATTTTACTATTTACTTGGGACAAAGGCCTGTAATCCCAATTACTCAGGAGGCTGAGGCAGAATGATAGCATATTCAAGGCCAGCCTAAACAATTTAGTGAGACCCAGTTTCAAAATAAGAATGGCTTGAATTGTAGCTCAATGGTACCACAAAACAAACAAAACCCCCTGCGATTTTGCAACCTAATCCCCCATTTCTCAATCCTCTTTCCCACCACATCACTATGTAATTTACTCAGCACTATGTCTATTGTTATTCTGTCTCCCCTCCCACTAAACTCAGAGGCAGCAGGAATTCTCCTCCATCCTCCATTTTGTATTCCAATGGTGAAAAATAGTGATTAGGATATGTTAAACTATAATGAACAGGAGTTAAACTGATTAAACCTTTCTGGAAAAAACTTGCCCTCCCCCCCCACAAAGGGCCCAGGGGTGCTTAGCCACTGAGCAACATCCCCAGCTCTTTTTGAAACAAGATCTCTCTAAATTGCTTAGGATCCTGCTAAATTGCTGGGGCTGGCTTTGAATTCACCATCCTCCTGCCTCAGCCTCCTGAGCTTCTGGGATTACAGGCATCAGCCACCACACCGGCTGGAGAAAACTTTTGACAATATGAATTAAAAACCTTTAAAATGTTCATTCTAGTAATTCTTTTTCTTTTTTTTTTTAAAGAGAGTGAGAGAGAGAGAGAATTTTTTTTAATATTTATTTTTTAGTTCTCAGCAGACACAACATCTTTGTTTGTATGTGGTGCTGAGGATCAAACCCAGGCGGCACACATGCCAGGTGAGCGCGCTACTGCTTGAGCCACATCCCCAGTCCCTCATTCTAGTAATTCTAAGAATTTATCCTAAAAAATTATCACTGATGTAAGCAATGACTTATCCAAAGGACTATTCATCTTAGCTGTGAATTAACGGAAAAATGGAAACAGCCCACAGTGGAATATTTAATGCTATATAAACTATTTGGGATAATGTTAACTATGAAAAAGTATACCCAATGATTCCAAAAGTATACCCAATGATTCTTACTAAGACAAAAAGTCTTAGTAAGAATATACATGTTCAGCTGTGCAAGTGGCACATCCATAGTTTCACCTACCCTCAAGAGGCTAAGGCAGGAGAATCACTTGAGCCCCAGGAATTCAAAACCAACCTGGGCAACATAGTGACTCCTGTCTCAGAACAAAAAAAGTATATAGGTTTATTAACAGGAGCCAAAATAAATACTAGTATAACCATTTAATGCAATGCTATCCAAGATTATTTCCTATGTCTCTTTTTTCTAAAACTTAGAAAAAAGATGGATTTAGGGGGAAAAAGGTGGATTTAGGGGCTGGGGTTGTAGCTCAGTGGTAGAACACTTGTCTAGCATGTGTGAGGCACTGGATTTGATCCTCAGCACCACATAAAAATAAATAAAAAAAATAAAGAAGTATTGTGTCCATCTACAACTAAAAAAATTTTTTTAAAAATATGGACTTTAGGGGCTGGGGATGTGGTTCAAGCGGTAGCACGCTCTTCTGGCATGGGTGCGGCCCGGGTTCGATCCTCAGCACCACATACAAAGATGTTGTGTCTGCCGAAAACTAAACTGTAAATAAAATATTTAAAAAAAAAATATGGACTTTAGTATAATATAGTAAGGCTGAAGTATTTGGAACTACTACAGAACCAATTTTCAAGGTGCATTATTAAATATAAAGAGCATCCAATACTATTTAATTTTTAAAATTATTTCAAGTGTATGAAGGTTCTACTTCCTATTAGACAAAAGTATTAAGAATTTTTAAGCACTTTTTTCTTCTAAGTTTTCAATATAACAGTTTATATCTTTGGAAAATTAAGAAGTAAAACTACCATCTCCCTCCCAAATCCACACATCCAGTGCTCAAATGAACAAAAGATCTTCTCCAGCTCAAATAATTTTAATACTAAATTTATACTAAACCTGTAACATTATTTTATTTCAAAGAAAGTGAAAAATCACTATTCAAACTAACTTCCTAAGCAATAAAATTACAAGGTAGGAAATCCATTCTGAAATTATGTTCCATCAAAAAATTTCAAAAGCATTTATAAACTGTTAAATCATAAAAGCTTACGATGATTAGATAAAGGCCTATAGCAATTGGTACACATATTGAAAACTGAAAGCTCAAAGGGAGATAGAACATTAGGCTCTTTCAGAGATATTAAACAATGGGTCAAGAAAGAGTGACTACACACCCAGATATCCCAAGGTGTCTTATTCAAAAACTTCTTTTCACTCAGCCTCTACCTTATTTATTCTCAGCCACATCAAAAGGAATTGTCATCTGGAGATATCAAGGTTAGTAACCAGGGCTATAGAACATACAAGAACTGGGTTCAAATCCTAGTTTTACAATTTTCTAGAGGTATAATCTAACAAACTTCATTTTCCTTACCTATAAAGTAAAATGAAGATTATCATCAACAAGTTAATATTAGTAAGTAAAAACTTTATAAAAGTGAAATGAAGAAGGAATTGATCAAGTAAAACAATTCCCAAAATTCAAACCTTTCAAGGCAGTGAAAGAACCCAAAGGAAATGCCCTAAAAAGCACTGGGCTGAAAGGCAGGAGCCCACACTCAACTGCAACCAGCTCCATGACCCCCAGGTATATCATCTCAATAATGTGGGTTCTAGTTTTTAAGATCTACGAAATCAATGGACTGAAATCCTTTCCACCTGTACTCTACCATGACTAAATTACTAGGGATGATAGTTACTGTTATATACTTGCAAAAGCTTCTAAAATTTTACAAATGAATGCTTGGTTTTTTGTAACCTATAGGACCTGACCAGTTTTCATTGTGACTGAGCCACCAATCATAACAGTATATAAGACTGTTTCCTTAACAAACTTGTCCAAGGTCAGATTGCTAAAAAGCAGCAAAATCAGAATTCAAAACCAGATCTTCTAAGTCCAAGTCCAAACTCCATGGCATGTTTCTTCCTCAGAACTTTTTCCTGACTAATCTGCAAGTATTTGTAAACAACTAAAGTTGTCAGGAGTGTAGTCAGCAGTGACTGAACAGAGTCAAGTTACCTGAGTCAGGTGGGGCTTGAACTTCTGACACAATAATCTAACAAACTTTAATTAGAAATTTCAGCTACTTAAAAGAAGGCTGGAGAAACAAGAAGGGAAAAAGAGGTAAAACTATAAAGAAAAACTTACTAATAGAAGACAAAAATAAAGCATTTTTGAGAGTATAAGTAAATGGGGGCAATTCTTATAGTTTCAGAAGTCAAAGTTGTATAAAACATAATATTCAGTAAAATAACTACTGGATTATCTATAATTCATATCTGCAAAAGAGTCCCAGTATGGAAATAATTAAGAACAGAAATAACTCTAGGTTACCCATAACAGTGAAGAGTAACAACATACAAACTAGGCTTTACAAATAAAGCACATGGTTGATACAGATAATCCAAAGTAACAAATATCTGATGTTTTTATAAAGTTATATGGTCAACAATATACACTCACCTCCCAAATACAGTATAATTCAGACCAATTATCAAGATTAAATTCTAAATAGCATGAGTGTTAAAGAGAGAAGGCCTGAGAGACAAGTATTTCTTTAAAAAAATAAAATAAAAGTGAATGATAATCTCCACCTCCTTACACCAATAAAAACTAACATTTTATAACATTCTTATCAGTTTCACATGGAATAACAAAACTAAGGAACAGAAAAAAAGTAACACTTAAATTTCTCCTACATTCTAGAAGTATAAGGTAGCTCCTTGCTTTTTCCATCAGTCAATCTGGGATTAAAAACTGGTTTTGAATTTCATGTAGATAGTCAAAAGGTAAACAAACAATTCACATATGCCTTGGTCACCAAGTACTTACAAAAGAAAAAATTTCATAAGACAGATAATACAAATGGAGCAAGAAGTGAGGTCACCTACTATTTTAGCTCTATTGAAAGAGAGAAGTAATTATGCGCTCTCCCCCAAACATTAGCATCCAAAAAAAAGAAAGAAAAAAAATCAAACAAATGGAAATGGTGCAGAAAATAACACATCTATAATTAAGACCTAGAACTTTTTCTCTGCATACGATCGTCTAAGCTGACTTCCAAAAGCCTTTGCTATTAAACATTAATACAAGATAAAAGTTCTTAAAAGACTAAGCCTCACTTGCGGAAGCCATCCACCGGGAGCGTGTATACCAGGCTGTGACCAACTTTTGTGTTCCCCACAATAGGTCTAATCCACTGTTACGCATCCTGCTAATGAAACTGGACCCGTGGCACTGAAATACACCAGAACCAGAACCACCAACGACGTTAGGTGATTAACTCCAAAAGGACTCAGGTTTAGGAAGAGAGGTAACACACCGACTGTGTGATCCGACCGCAAACTATAAAGAAGGCGATGCGCCTTGCAGGCTCAGAAAGTTGACTAACCAGGGGCATGCTCCATGCCCTCCTTTAGGAAAGGGAGAGTGTGGTTGGCAGAACCAAAAATACGAAAAATCCATTCAAGAATTTCCTGATGGCCTACCGTGCGGACGTACGAAGCAAGTTAGACGCTGAGAAGTAAAGGAAAGAGACAGAGTTCACCGACAGACTGATAATGATCTACCAGCTCCAGGAGGGGGCCCCAAACTTGGGGAGCTTCTGACTCCTCTGTGGATTTGGGGAGGAGGTGCCGAGCGGACTCTGGTCCTCCTGCAGCAGCCCTTCCAGCATGCTTGGGGCAGCTAAGGCTCAGGCCTGGCGTTCCGCAACAGAAACTCCCTTCCACATGGTTGCCGGAGAGCGACCCGCCAAGCAGCCCTGAGGCCATGCGGTTGGGGGCCGCGGAGTGCTTAAACCCGGTGCACGTTCAAGACACGAAACTAGAGCAGAGGAGGTGAGCGAGGAAATCCAAAGAACGGGGCGTTGGGGTACAAGACTCACTTCCTTTGGGCTTTGTCCTTCTTGGCCTTGGTCCTTTTCTTTCGGGCCTGGAGCGCAAGCACTGCAGGAGAGAGGGATGGGTGAAGGGCGAATGTGGAGAAAAAGAGGCGACCAAGGTGAGGGTGGAGACCTAGCAGGGGCGCCAGGCACGGTTGCAGGGCCTGTCTGAGGGGCGGCTGCGGGGCGAGCGCCGCGGCTTTGGCTAGGCGGCCGGCCCGGGGACTGGCGGCCCACGGGGCGCACCGCAGCGCCCGGGCGGGATGCGCCCGAGGGGGCTCGGGCCGGATCTGGGAGCGGGCGGGCGGGACTCGGCCTCGCCCGCCCAGGGTCGGGCTCAGGAGTGGCCCCAAGGCGCGAGACGGCCTGGCGGGGAACGAGGGGCGGTGACCGCCAGCGCCGGAGAACGCCCGGGCTGAGGGGCGCGGACCCGCAGCCCGGAGACTGGGGGTGGGGGTCGGCGCCACCTCAGAGGAAGGGCGCCGCACGCCCGAGGACCGGACCGCGGCGGTTGGGCGAGGCTCCCGGCGCTGACCCGGGCCTCGCCCCGGCGGCCGTTGCCCCTCGTGGCGGAGGCCGCTCCACCGCTCACCTTTCCGCTCCATGGCGAGACCTGTAACCGCCAGGCGCCTGCGCACTGGAGTGGCGGCGAATCGGGCTCCCGCCCCGGCCCAAAACCGAGCCCGCGTTCGCCCCGCCCCCAATCCCCGCCTCTCCCCGCCCCACGGCGCCGCGCGCCTGCGCATTAGCCACGGAGCCTACCACCTGCTCTCGATGAGGGTGCTGCTAGGGGCGGGAGAGGCCGGGAGGGGGTGGAGGAGAAGGAGGAACCGGGAGGGCAAGTGCTAAATGGTGTTTTGAGATCCAAGCTTGGAAACCTGGCTTGGTTAGTCTTGTTCTATTTACCGAGACTTAACCCTTAGAAAAAGACGCAGAACGCGTCCTTTAGGGCTGCCTGCTTGCTGAGTCAGAGCAATCAACAGAGATCTTCCTCAGTTTTCTGGCCTGTGAAATGGATTAATCAGGCAGTTCCTTCCCTGAGCTATTGTGAGCGCCAGTTAAGACACTACTCAAGGAAATGGAAAAAAGAAATTACATGGAAGAAAGAAAAGGAAGTGGGAGCAACCTGAGCACTGGAACCTGTTACCTTATCATTTAAAAAGTATTTAAAAGTGAATTTTTTAAATTACAAGTTTAAGTGAAAGTTGTAAAAGATGAAGGGAAGGGAGGATAAAAACGCTTTTTTTCTCATTTTACCGCATTATCGTCTTTTTCAGTACATGATAGAGTTTTATTTATAGGATGTTTTTATACTTTTCTAAACGCATTATCTCATTTTATATTTAAGATAACAAAGGCAAGATGGTTAGAACCTACATTACACAAAAAATTAAAACTTGGGGGCTGGGGATGTGGCTCAAGCGGTAGCGCGCTCGCCTGGCATGGGTGCGGCCCGGGTTCCATCCTCAGCATCACATACAAACAGAGATGTTGTGTCCGCCGAAAGCTGAAAAATAAACATTAAAAAAAAAAAATCTCTCTCTCTCTTTAAAAAAAATAAAATAAAACTTAGAATATCTATGCAGAATCTTGATGTCCCTACCCAATGATTCCATCATCAAACCCTCACTGTAAAGCAGTATCTGCAAAGTGTTTCTGAAAAGGATTATAGTCAACATTGAGGCTTTCTGGATCCTAATCTTTCTCCACTCATCAGCTCTGCCACTGGAACTTAAAAGCAGTCATAGAAAATATGGGGTATCTGGGTTCCTACAAAGATTCTTTATGGGAACTGAGAGTGAATTTCATGAACTTTTCGCACATTATGAAATACTTGCCTTTTGATCTTTTGTCAAGCATTTCAACCATTCTTAGTTCAGGCCTTGGTTTGCCAACCCCTGCTGTAACGTGCATGTTTAAAGACAGAGATGTGTTCTGAGAAATGCACCATGAGACAATTTTGTCCTGGGAAAATCAGAGAGTTCTCACACAAACTAAGGGGGCTACAAAATCAGTAGGTGGTATAATCTATGGGAATACCCTTATTATGCAGTCTGGTGTTAACTGAAATCTTATGATGTGTCACATGATTGTACTACAACTGGACAAGGTGGAAGCTCTTGCTTTGTAAGAAGTGGGACCTCAGCAGAGAAGACAAACAAGTAATCAATTGACTAGGAAAGGATGATAGGAGTGAAAAGTACAAGTCAAGGATGGTAAATAACTTAAGTCCAGTAAGGGAGGTGGCAATTTTTGAGCTGAGTCTTGGGCAATGTGTATGATTTCCATAGGTGGGGAAGGAGATGTCAGGCATTCCTGAATGACAAAATCAATTGAGCAAAAAGGTAAAGACATGGAAACGTGGGTGGGGGCTGGGACCTGTAATGATTGAAGGGATGAAATAGGTGAGACTGGAAAGGTAGGTTTGCCAAATTTGAAATTTAGATAATTAATATCTGTTGCATGAAACCTGAATGATAATATTTCTAGGCATATTGTGAAACAGGACAGTCTCTTTTGGCCAAGGAAGACTGTAGTCCAGTCTCTTTTCTAAGTTAAATTTGAGAACAGAAGGAGAGCTGGGGCAGAAAAGAAAACCCTGGAGTCTGAGGATTTTTCTAGTTCAGGAACACCCTAGATGGTTTAATGAAGATAGAGAAGGGCTGGTGGTTAGGGAAAATTCCAGAATTAGAAAAGAACTGTCCACCAGAAAGCAAACTTGGAAGGTTTGGGAGCCTGGGTACATTTTCCTTGATGTAGCTATCCTCAGTACCTACACAGTGTTGAGTGTGAAAGAATTCCCCACGCAAAGACACTTCGCCGGGAGAATTCCAATTTTATTGCAAAAAGCTGTGTGCTTATATAGAACTAAGGGGGAGATGGTAGGGCTTAGATAAATGGCAGGCAACCGGTTTATTGGCAAGTTCTTTCAGATATCAGCTCCGGAGCCCAGGAATTAGTTCTCATTGGGGCTAAGGTTCCCCGCCAGCGAAATTTGAAATTGGAGCTGGCGGGAGAGTTCACACGGGCGGGAACTTTTCACGCCACTGCAGAAAAGAAGAAGGTAGGAAGAAGAAGTCCTTAGGCGCCATGTTGGAGTTTTTCTCTGGGGTATGGCTGCCGTTTATACTTTTCCCAACAGAGTGCTTAGTAGATGCTCAAATATTTGTCTAATAAAAGAATAAATAATCTCCAGTTTATAAGAAACATCAGGAGAGAGAGAAAATACTGGGACAATATAAGAGCTGGGCTAAAATCCAAATGGTTATTGCAGAGCTGTCAAAAAGGGATGTGTTCACCTCACCACCATTTAGTCAGACCTCTTCTCATTGATTTTTGCTTTTTTCCCCCAAGAACTTATTAACCATCTGTTTAATTACTAATTTGAGAATTTTTCCAGAGTCAATGTTCTTTGGACTGACTAAGTTCTCTGAATCGACCATTTCTCTTTTTTCCAATGTTCTCACTATGCTTCAGTTACCCACACTTCTTTTAAGATCTCTAGAAATATTAGGTTTTCTCCCTGATTCTAAACCATCTTTTTCCCCCGTATTTCTTGCTTTAAAATTACATTTTTATGTATTTTACCCTTGCAAAAATTAGTGTGTGTGTGTATGTGTGTGTGTGTGTGTGTATAGTCCTGGGGTTTGAACCCAAGGGTGTTCTACCACTGAACTACATCCCAAGTCTTTTAGTTTTCATTTTGAAATGGTCTCACTAAGTAACCCAGGCTGGCCTTGAACTTATGATCCTCCTGCCTCAGCCTCCTGAGTCACTGAGATTGCAGTTGTATGCCACCAGGACCGGTTCAGAAATCATTCTTAAAAGTTGTAGCTTTTCTTCGGTGTTCATTCTCTTGTTTTATGCACATGGCTCCCCAACACACACACACACTTCCTTTAAAAGTATAATTAATCAAAGAACATGAATCATCATATTTTGGGCAGCTCATGGGCAGTGTCAGAATTTAATTTTCTGAGATCTTATTCCTCTTGAGCTAATTTAATCTTTAAGACTGTGCTTATGAACTTTCCCTAATGTTTCATTGACATTTTTGAAATCCCACTGTTTAAAATTGGATGTGGATCCTCCCATCCAACATTCCTTGCTTTGGATTATCACAAACTGTTATACTGTCCAAAAATTTTATCTGAATTAAATCCAAAGTAGTACCTCCCCTTTTGGCTTCTCCTCCATCCGGCAGATGAAATAAACAACAGGAGAAACTGAAAACATATCGGATGCTTTATTTTGAATAAGATTTCCAGTAGCTGTCTGCATAATTGGGATACCCCAGTGGAACTTTGTCTTGCCTTTGTGATAGTTTTATGAAGTATGTTGGGAAAATATAACATATTCTAGGTCTGAGTATCAGGAAACATGGCAATCCCATATTTAATGAAGGTATGGAGGTGTGGATAGGGTTAAGGTAAACCAACAAGGGTTGCAGAGGCACCCAGGGACAAGCAACAGTGGGAGTTTTTACCACTCCTAGACCTGAAGGGACAGGGGAAGGAGACTTTATCAGAACTTAGTGAGAGCTTGTATTCCTTTGCTAGGGCTGCCACACCAAAGTACCACCAACTGGGTGGCTACAGCAATAGAAATGTATTGTCTCACACTGTGGAGGCTAGCAGTCTGAGATCAAGGCGTTGACAGGATTGTCTCCTTTGGAGAGTTGTGAAAGAGAACCTTCTCAGTTGTTTTTTTTTTTGCCTGGTAGATGGCCATCATGTTCTTGTGTCTCTGCACATTGTCTTACTTGTGTGCATATCTCTCCTTGTGTCTGCATTCCTTCTTAGAAGAACACTGGTCATCCTGGAATGTTGTTCATCTTAATAACCTCACTTTAACTCTATTACCTCTGTAAAGATTCTGTCTCCAGGATGCTGAGGCAGGAGGATCTCGAGTTCAAAGCCAGCCTCAGCAACTTAGCAAGGGCCTAAGCAACTCATGGAGACCCTATCTAATATATATATATATATATATATATATATATATATATATATATATATATATATATATATATATGGGCTAGGAATGTGGCTCAGTGGTTAAATGCCTCTGAATTCAATCCCTGGAACTGAAAAAAAAAAAAGATTCTGTCTCCAACTAAGGACATTCTGAGGTATACTAAGGACTCCAACTTACCTTTTTACCTTTATTTGTTTGCAGGTGTGGGGGGGTGGGGGGACACTATTCAACCCATAATAAGGCTGTAGCAGCAAGAAAGGGCTGCCCAACAAATAAGCCAAGCAGGGCCAAAGCTAGAGAAATAAATACCCAACTTCTTCTCTCATCTTCTCAGTCTCCTACTGACAAAACCCACTGGCAGTTGGAAGGCAATCCAGCCTCCCCAGGGCACTGGAGGGTGGAGGAGGGCGGAGAGTGGATCTGGAGGGATAAATGGAGAATATCCAGCATAGCCTGTCAGGGCAGTGGATACACCCAAAGCACCTAGCATATTCCAAGCAGGTAAGTCTACCTCTTGAGCCCCTGATCCCTGGAGAGAGTTGAGAACTGAAGCTGCTCTGGGATAACCCCCTTTCTGGCTTCAGTCTATAAAAAGTTTCAGCTTCAAAGGAAATTGTGCTTGAGTGAAGGG